AATCTCTCTGGTGGTTTTAGGTACACTGTAAGATTACTCTCTATTAACTTTGAAGCATCACAATCATCCTCTTTCCAGATGTCTGTTAGAAATTTTTTCTTAAAAGGAACTTCTGTTACCTTCCATGTTTTCTTCCAGTATCTGTGGGAACTTTTACGAAGCACAGGAACCTAAGAATATCCAGAAACATACTTAATTCAGTTTGGATGTGGCATTCTTGGCATTACTGTATTTGAATATTAGTAAAACCATTTTAGTTATGCAAGTAAATAATCTTCATTCTTGCAAGAGAATGAATTGGATAAAATAGTAATTATTGTAACTTATTTTAATGAGAAGTTGTGTGTGGGGATTGTATTTATGTTCAACCCTAGTCTCAAAATCAGAATTCTATGTAACTATTAATAATTAATCTAATGAGACATAAAATCTGTAAGTATCTTCAATGTGTTTGTTGTCAGGTAAGGACTTTATAAATGCTAGCTCATTTAATTTTCAAAGTTAAGAAAATCATGGAATCCAACAGGATCCCAAGATCAGTAGTAATTGATAGTAGATATTTGCAAAAATACTTGTATTCTCTCCTTGTAATTCTTCTCTGCAACTAAAATAGTACCTGGTACATAGCAGATGCTAAATAAATGTTTTTTGAATGAACTGTGAATGTGTAAATGAAAGATTCATATGAATGAATGATAATAATTCCAAAAGAATATATCAGAATGAAAAAATGACTGATTTTAATCAAGCATTTTATCAAGGTAAAACATTACACACATGACTCTAGACAAGTCAGTTTACCATTTAGGACCTCAGTTTATTCATTTGCAACTTAAAGGTCAGACCTCACCAGCTCTAAAAATTCACCATGGGATTTACACCATCATTTGCTGCCACTCAGGTTTCTCTGGTGCTGAAACACCTATCACATTTCCATTAATTAAGCAACAACCTCTGATACATTGTTTCATTTTTCCTTTTGACTTTGTGATTTGAAAGTAATACTTAAAAACCAATAATGCGAGAAACAGACACATATTAGACTCAATCCCAAAAGACAGTGGACTGTAACCACGACATGAGAATAGAAATATGGCATGCGGTTTCCAAAACTTTTCTCTAAGTGTCATCTTTTCTTTCTTCATTTCAAATCACTTTTTTTAATTTGACCTGATTTGATTTTGTTTCATAATTATATGAAAATGCCTAGCTCCTAGAACCTACTCTTATCTATTTGCAAAATAACACAAGTTACCCAGTTTGAAAAAGACATATGCACCCCTATGTTTATCAGAGCACTATTTACAATAGCCAAGAAATGGAAGCAACCTAAGTGTCCATCAGTAGATAAATGGATAAAGAAGATGTGGTACAGATACACAATGGAATATTATTCAGTCATAAGAAAAAAACAAATCCTACCATTTCCAACAACATGGATAGAGCTAGAGGGTATTATGCTCAGTGACATAAGCCAGGCGGAGAAAGACAAGTATCAAATGATTTCACTTATTTGTGAAGCATAAGAACAAAGCAAAAACTGAAGGAACAAAACAGCAGCAGACTCACAGAACCCAAGAATGAACTAATAGTTACCAAAGGGAAAGGGACTGGGGAGGATAGGTGGGAAGGGAGGGATAAGAGGAATAAGGGGCATTGCGATTAGCACACATAATGTAGTCGGGGGGTGGTCATGGGATAAGCAGTATAGCACAGAGAAGACACAAAGTGACTCTATAGCATCTTACTACACTGATGGACAGTGACTGTAATTGGGTATGTCATGGGGACTTGATCATGGGGGGAATCTAGTAACCACAGTGTTACTCTAAATAAATGAGAATAAATTACATTCGCATCACTGGAAAAAAAATAACACAAGTTGAACATACTCTTAGTTTCTACTGACCTATTTGTAACAATTTGTTTACCTTTCATTTCTTATTTTCCCAACAATTGCTGGGAGTAAAAATTAAATTAAATTACAAACTCTCTAATGAATGAAAGATGAGACTAATGCTTAGTGCTTCATTTAGAAGATAATGAAATGAAGGATCACAGGAGCAAGTTGTGCCTGGTATTTATGTCAAGTGTCAAATTAATGGACTAGGCAGAATGATTTCATTGACTCTCTGAAATGATACCTTCTTGGAGTTCTGAGTATCACACACACACACACACAGAGTTCTAAAAATAAAGCCATGTATATAGTCTTTCTTTGACTTGCCCCTCTAGGAAATAAAGAACCCAGAATCTGAACTCTGAAGTACATCACAGTCTGCTTACGTAAGCAGACGTCATAATGGAAAGCAGCTGGTTTTGAATCTGGTACAAACAGTACCAAAAATCGCTTAACCAGTTCAGTGGTAATCTACAAGGCAATGCCTAGGAAATGGATGTATTTTCTAATCAAGTAGATGTTGCCCTTTTACTCATATTCACACTTCAGACATCCATTTAATGTGCTTCCCTATCTTCTTGTAGGAAACAGGTTGCTGAAGAACTACATTCGCTCTTTCATTTTAACGGGGATTAAAAAGACGTTTTAGCTCAAAGTCTTTTCTAAAGTATTCGGTACAAGAAAACTTAAACAAAAAATCCCAAACCTAAGCTGATTTACCATAAGCAAAATGTAGATGACCTGGATTCCAGTAAAACAACAAAATAGACAGTCGCTAGAGAATTTGTGACAATATATGTCTCCAAAATAACTAATCTCTATCTATGGTCTGAAGAAATCCCTACAGTTTTGGTCCAGATGATTCCAAACCTCAGCCCAGAAGCTAATTGTGCCCCATCCCACAATCAGCAGCCACACATATGTAACTAGTTTTACGTGGGTCCAATATCTTGATAGCATTTACTTAGCCAAGACTTCCCCCAGGTGAAACAGGAGATTGTGCTTGAATAACACCCCCTACCCCTATTCCAATTCAAACACTTAGGTTTCAGTTGCACACAAGTTTTGTGAATCTCCTGGAGTTAATCTTTTTGGTAGCATTTCCCATGCACCACAAAATAAACTTTAGTATGTAAAAACAAAAACCATTCTATAAAGCAATAAACAAGTGATATAATAAGTTAATTCAAAAGCACTGATTCAAATGATTAAAAATACAAAAAAATCTAATGTTTCCCATCTTTCATATCACAAATCCACCTTTTGTGCTGCTGAACTCTAGACTAGACACCTCCTCTCTTAATACTCCAAAGAAATAGAACTTATTCTGAGAAGTGCAAGATTAATAATCCAAAGATATTTATCTAAACTCATACAGCAAATGAATGGGACTCAAGACAGTGGATGCTGAATATTGAAATATATTTTACCCAGACTTCCTAGATGATATGAACCTGGAGCTTGCACTTTCCTAGCCAAATTCCAAGTATAAACTACAGAAAAATATTACCACAAAGGTGGATGATCATCCTCTTTCCTGATGACCCTCACAAATCTGGTGTGGCTGCTGATTGTGGTGAAGGGGATACAATTAGCTTCAGGACTGAGGTTTAGAGACATACAGACCCAAAATGAAAGAATTTTATAAAAAGACCATGGATAGAGGTTGATTATTTTTGGGACACATGAATGACAAAGCCTAGAGAATTGAAGGAGTGGTCAGTCTATTAATACCTCGAGAGTCTGTTGCTCTCCCTAGCCACCTCAGGGCTCGGCCCATGACTCCCATATCTTTACCTTCACCCACGTCTGTCTCCTACTAGTCATTGCCCTCTGGGTAATTCACAGAACATTTTTGATTTGGTAAAACTTGTTCCTCAGGTTTGGGGACTGAGTGTCTCAGCATATGGGGTCTTCAGTGATGCTACTTAACTTGAAATAGGTAATTCAAATTGTCCTTGAGTAAAAACACAGTAAGAGTTTTTATCCACATCTTCTTTATCCATTCATCTACTGGTGGACACTTAGGTTGCTTCCATTTCTTCGCTATTGTAAATAGTGCTGCGATAAACATAGGGGTGCATCTGTCTTTTTCAAACTGGGCAACTTGTGTTATTTTGCAAATAGATAAGAGTAGGCTCTAGGAGCTAGGCATTTTCATATAATTATGAAGAAAAACACATTGAGAAATGTCCCTCTCAATTACCATGTGGGAGAGAGGTTATCCTGGATTTGACATGCTCAGTCTATCAACCCTTGGATTAATAAAATCAACTCTAATTTTCTGATTTTCATTCACCAGTCCTGCTGTCTTTGCACTTGTGATTTTCCTCCTATGTGGAATATTAGTCCCAACATTATTTACTACACAAATTCCTCCCATGGCAAACAAACCTCTCCAGAACATGGTCTGTTGCCTATCAAAAAAGCACTTTGAACATCAAAAACATACTTGATTTTTGAATGAAGTAGTGCGTAAACCGTGATGAGAATCTGAAGGGTTCTTAAAGGTGTCTGGGAGCTGTTTAAGCCCTTTCAAAGATGGTGAAAGATATGGCAACATATTCTTCCCAAAAGTGTAAGGGACTTTACACAACATTCAGTTGCTCTGAAGAAAAAGGCCAGATGAATCACAGGTGTATTTCAACATACCAGGGTATTGTAATAGGCTACTTTCCACCCTTCTCAAAGGAAGGCACCATACAATGTAATGCATATGCCCTGGTATGTATCCCTCCCCTCGGCCTTGGTGGGTTGATGAAGGCTGGAAAGTTGAAGTTATGAGGATTTAATTGTCTGTTTTTATTTTGAAGATTTACCTTATTAACTGGGAAGAACTTGGAGTAAGTTTTAAGTTCTAGTTAATAAAGGAGGCATTCAACATTTCTCAAAGTTACAGATACGAAAGAAGAAAATAAATAAGAACTTTAACCAAGATCCTATGACATATTACTGAAATACAAGGGGGAAATATCAGTCATTTTACTAGGAAAAGGGAAAATGAACTACATTTGGATTATACTTAAAGATGAACTAGAATTCTCTTCCTGATTTCCTGGAGTAATAATATTTAATTTAACTTTTTTCTTTTTTTTTACAGGAACTCTCTAATTTTGAGAATGCAAAATCAAAAAGAAAGTAAGTCAAATTTACTTTAAAAACTTTAAGTTCTCCTAATTCTGTAATGCTAAATGGAATATTTTAGTGGGTTTCTTGTCAAAGTTTTAAAAAATTGTTATGTACATATCTAGATGTTTTATTCTGCCACCATTTGTCTGTTTATTGATGTATAGGAAACCTGTGTTGTGACATTCCTGTAGACAGGGATGTGAAAATTAAATTTTCAGAAGAAGAAACACGTATTTAAACTATGCTCAGATTAAAGTGGGAGCCTACTTGAAAACATGCTTCTATTGGTGACCTATTAATCTTCTGAAGAGTTTTTCTAATCCAAATAAAATGTGTTTGCGAAGAGATTTGGGTTATTTAGGTCAGGGTTGGCTTTACATTCAGCACATCAGGAGGCCAGAGGACTTGACACATACGTGTTGCATAAGGCAATGGGATTTAACTAATAAGCAGGAAATACATAAGGGCAGGAAGTTGGTTTGTGGGGAAATTTCCAGACTGGTTGCAGATGATACAGAAGAATGGCTTCCTTGCACTCTGGAATGCTCTGAGGCCAAATTGTTAATGTGAAATTCTTTCTAAACAGTCTGTCCCAGCCATCTTTGCTCCTCCCTTCTCCTGTCCCCCTCCCTCAAGGCACTTTGTGCTTTCATATTCCTCCTTCCCTTTCCTGCTCAAAGGTTTCTCCCAGTAAGGATATAAAATACATCCATAGTAAGTAGGTAATCAGATGATTAACAGTTTAGAGGACGTGACAGCAAGGGTAGTTGCATTTTAGCCACAGTTAACAACTTAGACTACAACAGGGACATTTTTAGCATGATATGGGGTAAAGAAGGGGTTTTTTGGCCAGGCTCTTCTCAGTCTTAAAAATCACCCATCCTATGTAGCTGCTTATTCGATCCACAGAGGAGGAGCTCACTAATTCCAAATCAAATACTTACATGAAATTACAACTGTTGGCCTATTATTGATGCTTCTACAGATTAGAAGATACCAGAACATGGAGGAGCAGAAGGAAGATGAATGAAAGGGAAAGTACCTGATGCTGACTGACTTAGGATTTTTCAAGCACAAACTAGATCAATTAATGTGCTTATCAGATTCCAACCAATTAAAATAAAATTGAAGACTCTTTTTAGTTCTTTTGTCTGCCATTCTCCTGAAGGGAGTAGCATCTCATGTTCTTATATACCTGCTTCACTTTCTAATATTATAAATAGCCTTTTTGGAACACTTACTATTTGCCAAGAGATGTCCTAAGCATTTACCATTAAAAAAATTATAAACAAATAAAAATAAAATGGTTAAGAAAAAAAGAAACATTACATATGCAGGTTTTTGTTTATGGTTATAAGCTTAAGAGAAGGTGAACTTGGCTTTAATTTAATGACTACCAAGAATATAAGTACTGGAGAGTACTCAAGCTATAACCAAGTGAGTTATATGCACAAGATATGTGTGTGTTCACCCAGCACATAAATTGATTAACTATAGTTGAGTCAGCATAGCCCTATTCTCTGTTTCTGTTAAGACATTTTATTATGAAAATTTTCAATTATACATAGAGGAAGAGATAAAGCTGAACTCACATTGCTAAACTTGAACAAGTACCACCTCAGAGCCCATCTTATTTCATCTCTACGCATTTGACTAATCAATCCCCCACTCTCACTGGGTTTTTCTAAAGCAGTTCCCAGATATACAATTTCATGTTTCAATATTAATCGTTAAAAGACAAGAACTTTAAAAAAATACATAACCACAAGACCACTACCGCACTAGAACAAAATAAGAAAAATGACATAACATGACCAAATATGAAGTCAATGTTAAAATTTCTCTGATAGCTTCAGTGCTTTTCTATAGGCAGTTTATTTGAATCACAACTCAAACAAGCCGTGCAGTGCATTTGGCTCATGTCTCTATTTATAGGCCTCTCTCTCCATTTTCTGTTGCAGAAACTGGATTGTTTGTTCTGAGGAATTTTCCATAATTTTGAATTTCGCTGATTACAACCTTTAGGCATTAACAAAACAAAACATGTTCTATCCTCTGTTTCCTGTAAATTAATTAGATCCCAAGGCTTGATAACATTTAAGTTATATATACATATGTATAGTTCAAAGTAGGTCATCAGTGACTGTATACTTCCTGTTGAATTACATTGGAAACCCGTATATCTGGTCATCTCTATTTTTGACTCAGAAAATTGCTTTGCGGGTTCAGATGGTGTCAGGCTGATCCATGTAACACAAAGTTGCCCATCAGCCTTTCCATTAAAAGCTTTAATAGCAATTGGTGATTATTGCTCAGATCTATTATTTTTTAGGGATTGTAAAATGGTTACATTCAATTTGCATCATTCTGTCTGTATTTATTGAGCAGAATTATTTGAAGAACAACTTTGTATATTAGATATTTGATGATCCTGAGATGCATTCATGCAAGAATGGCCCAGTCCTTGTGTGTGTGTGGTGGGGTATGGGGGTGGGGGTAGGAGTTATGAATGTTTCCACATTGCATGGAAATTTCCAGGCCAAGATTATATTTGTATTAACTGTATCTTGCCACCTAGGGCTAGAAAAATTCAGGACCATATGTAGACCTTAGTTAGAGGTAAAATTTATTACTGTTCTTAAAGGCATTGCACACGTCTAAGTGATCTAATTTTTATTTGATTAAAAATACTATTTATTAAATCTAGACTACAATATCTGTTTCTTTTATTCTTTTAGGTCAATCTGGAGCTCTGTATCTGAAAACAAAGGATTTGGTTAGTAATTCACAAGTTTACTCATGCAGATGATACATTCTGTTTCCCTAGAAGTTTTCTTCTTCTACTACTGACATAAAACAACAATAAGTGATTAATGAAAGTCAAATTGAATTGTCTGAATTCTATAGAATAAATTTTTTTAAAATGTAGTTCCATTCTAACTTTAAATGGCTAAGGCAAAGAAATCATTGGTTTATTCAGAATAATTTCCTTTTATATTAAAAAAAATTCTCTTTGGTGGTTTCTTAGTTGATTATCTTCCAGCTTCCCAACTTCAGCTTGGCTGATCATGGTCAAGGTGACCTCCTAGACATTGTTCCAGATCTACGAATATTGGAGTGACTAAGAAAGAAATAGAAAATAGTTGGATTGCAAAAGACTTTTCCACAGCATTTCAAACACCAGGCTTCTTCAATTTATTTGATTATAGTATCCATAGCAGTAGTAAAGGCAATTGGCTTGATTTGTATTTTAATTCTGAAGTAAACATCTAATTCTATTAAGTACTTTCAGAAAGCTAATGGATAATCTTCCAGCTTCCCAACTTCAGCTTGGCTGATCATGGTCAAGGTGACCTCCTAGACATTGTTCCAGATCTACGAATATTGGAGTGACTAAGAAAGAAATAGAAAATAGTTGGATTGCAAAAGACTTTTCCACAGCATTTCAAACACCAGGCTTCTTCAATTTATTTGATTATAGTATCCATAGCAGTAGTAAAGGCAATTGGCTTGATTTGTATTTTAATTCTGAAGTAAACATCTAATTCTATTAAGTACTTTCAGAAAGCTAATGGATAATGCCTCTCCTTCCCTTATAGAACGCAGTGTATCTAAAAACATTCATAGTGGCAAAACATCTAAATTATTCAGTCATTTTTTATGTAATTTGTCAAATTTGGGGATACCCTTTCTTCTTTCTTTCTTCCTAGTATAGTCTAGGAATCAGATGCTCAAAGTCCTTTCCCTTTCCCTTCAAAACCAGTTTCCTGGATAGAATCTGAAAAGCTTCATTCAGACCAAGGTGATGATTATCATCTTCTAAGGGTGTCTGCACTCAAGTGGGTCTAATATTCTTACAGTGGCAGCATCTATAGGGGCTGGGTCCCATCTCATTAGTCAAGGCCCTGTGGGCAACTAGTTGTTAAATAATTGAGTATCAGCCCTGATTTGAAAAGTGTATAGTCTTAAAAAAAAAGAAAGGAAAATTTTTATTTTTCATCTAGATCCATTCTCATATTTGTACATACATAGAAAAAGAAAGGCAAATTTTTATTTTTCATCTAGATCCATTCTCATATTTGTACATACATAGAAACAGGTATTTCTATCCTGCTATAATTCTTGATGATCAGCTGCCATCTCTGTAGTCAAATATGAGAGTAAATGGTTATTTTAAAAACAGTACAGTATGCTGAATTTGTTCCATGCTATGCTTTGGCTGCATTATTTAAAATTTACTTTATTAATGCTATGATACCACATGTGAAATGATTAGTCTTTGGTAAGTAGATTAGAAGGGATTCTAATTCTTCGTTTTGGTACAGTTCAGTTCTTCATGTCATGTCCAGGCCCTGCTCTAGGTATTAGGAGGACAAGGCTGAGCAAATCATGGTTCTTCTACTCAAGGACCTTAGATTTTCTCAAAAGTATCACAGCTCAGTGTTCTCTCTACTCACTTCATCATTTTGTTAAAAATGATGAGGAATGTGACAGGTGGGGATACTTTAACTTGTACATAAAAATGAATTTTTATTAAATCAAGAAAAACACTTTAAATTACAATGTAATCAGAAGCTATCAAGGGTATTTAAGTAGGATCATTCTACCATATATGTGTGGGTGCTTCTGTAGTTTATGGAGATAAATGGGAGCCCACAGGACACCTGGGAATGTCGATCAGGGACTAACTAGAACTCCCCAGAATGGACCACAGAGCTCTTTTATCATGTCACCAAGTTACAGCCCTGTGCTGACCTTATTTTGATTTCAAATTTCTTATAATTACTGGACAAATGATACTCTGAATTTGTGGGGAAGTTGGGGTTCCTATGGCCACGATCCTCACTGAACTTAAACCACCTGTTGATGTAATTGGCCTGTTGCTGGGCTGCCGCTTTCCCACCTTTAGGCAATAAGCTATTATTGAGCTACATAGAGAGCTCGGCCCAGTGCTCTGGGTGGAGGCAGAGACGCTAGTGCTCCACCTACCGCTGGAGAACAAGTCGGGTAATAAGCCCTTTAACCCAAAGAACGTTTTGCTGTCAATTTCTTTGGTTGCACTGAATCCATAGCGAACTTGCCTGGGGCTGAAACCCATTGGCAAGCCAGAATTCTGCTAACCAATCCTCTGCTTTACTTTAGAAAGGAAAACAGTGAATGACACAATTTGGTGGGAACCCAGCAACCCTGAGAATGATTCCCACCTCAGAAGACTCTGTCAGCTAAAAGGTAATTGCTAAATTTAATTCAGCTGACTTTGCATTTTCCCAAAGTAGCTTAAAGGACAAGTAAGAAAAATTTACATCTTTCACCAATAAAATAAGCAGGGCATGTGGACTGTTTAAAAAGTAAAAACAAAATAGAATATAATTTGTGTATAAATGTATATATAATTAATAGAATATATATGTGTGTGTGTGTAGATACTTATAGATATACAGCAGGGAAATAGAATTTAAGTTGCCCATTAAAGCAAAGAATCAATTGTAAATAATATTTGAAACTCTTTACTGTCTATAAGAATTAAAAAGTGTATTAAAAGTCAGCACATAGGAAAACTCTCCAAAATAACATCAGTATATTACCAGTTGTTATATTAGTTTTCTTTAAAAATTTAAGACAAATAACTTTGATTATTAATGTAAACATATCATTTTGTAATTTTAAAATTCACGGGAAGAGCAAATTAGCAGCTAGGTATTAGAAAAATTATTAATAATAAATTACTTCATAATTAAATTCTCGACAGTAGGAAGCTAATGAATAAAACAAAGTCTTAAGAATTCTCAAAGACGAACAACAGCTAAACAGTTGATCTGCTTGGTATTCTACCTCCAGTGTTACTGGAACAAGAAATAATTGATTTCATTAGTTATAGATTATTTAAGAGTTTCTAATTCTTAACTAAAAAAAAGATTTTTAAATGTCTTGCTGTCTCACCTGAGGGTTTCAGTCCCCAGGCAAGTTCACTCTGGGTTCTGTGGGACTGAACAACAACATATCTTAAGGGGTAATATCCCAGCTTTATTCTCAGGTGGCAGATTGAGTGCTAGAATCATGTCTGCCTCTGGGGCAGTCTGTATGCTGCAAGCCTGGCTCCATCTCTGCTTGGGGGCAGAGTACTGAGCCGAGCTCTTTTTATAGTAATGGTGACAATAATGGCTCATTGCCAATGGATGTGTAAGCTGTAGCCTAACAGTAAGCCAGTTATCAAGTAGTTTAGGATCAGGTGAGGATCCTGGCCATAGGCACTTCCAGTTTCCCTACACTTGCAATAAAGGGAATGGTGCTATATTTTTATAATATATTTTTATAGTCAGGAATTTAATGGTTTGATTTTATATTCTGTTCAAATTTTGCCTTTTTTGAAACAGAATTCTTAGAGTTACAAATTATGAAAATAATAATTTTCATTTGAAATATTTAAATTTTATTCATGATTACATAAATAACGCTTTGGTGAATAATTTAACTGAACTTTTTAACTGTTCAGTTTTCTGTATTGTAAATAAATAGTTGAAACATTTTGGGATTATTTAAGGTATTTTCTTTTATTATGACATAGGAAATGTTTTATACATATCTTCTTTTACTTGGACACTATCTTCACCTCATGGATGCCAGCTATCTTCATGTACACACTCAGTAGGTTAGTCAACATTCATCAATGTCATCCATACATCACTACAAACACAGGTTATTTTTAGATTATTTTATGTTGATTATGGATAAAGAAAGTATAACTGCATTATAGGTTTTTTAGTTATGAATTTTGCCATAAATCTCTTCATGTATTCTACTTTAAAGCTGTGTTTTTGTGGACTGTTTTTTAAGTTTAGATGTAATAGGCAGATAATTCTGTTATAGCTACTCTGACAAAGCACCAAAAAATCTTGGCCAAAGGTGAGATGCTTCTGATTAGGGCTTTGTCCTTTGTCAGAGAAGAAAAAAGAAAGCCTTTGCAGAAACCTTCTCAGCTTAGATATTTTCAGATGCTTGAGTGACCATGTGTTCAGAGTGTGTGCGTGTGTGTTTAAGAAGTTCAGCCAGCATTTCAGCCATAGCAGCTGAGTCACAGGACATTTCCTGGGGATTAATGCTGTGCCAGGAAGAGCTGATGGCCTGAGACCAAGGCTGTCAGTGCCACTGTAAATTCAAGGGAGAAATTCAGTGGGGGAAGGACAGCCACAAGTTGTGGACTTGAATTTTATGGGTGTAGTAGCTTCATTTGGAAGGCTTAGAGTATTTCTAAGTAATTAGTGCCCTACATATCAACCCATAATATTTCTTTCTCATTTTAAACACTACGTTTTAACTGTTAATTGCATAATTAAGAGTGGTTTACTGTGCCTGAGGATAGACAGTCTGTGAAGTTTACTGAGTTGAAGATCAAAAGGTGCTTTATTGTGATCATGATCATCCACAGCCCATGATTTTATTGAACATCATGATGGAATTGTAAAGACAGTGTCAGTAAAACAGAAGAAAATATGCTATAGGGAAGTAAACAGTCAGAATGACATTAACACCTAAAGAATCTGTTACAGACTCCAAGACCCCCCAAATAGGATATTTCTCTCAATTTCGATTTCAAAATGTTATTTTTACATAGCACATATTAGAGTAACAGCATTTTAGTCCTGAAGAGTACTGGAGCCTGATGACAGAAATCTCCACAGGCTATATTTAGCCAAGGATTTGTGCCTGGTGTTTTAATCCATAAAGATACTCATATAGGTTAATAACATGACTGTGTTATGTCAGTTAAGACAAAATTTATCAGCATAAGTTGAGTGCCAGAAGCATAACATTTTTAGTTTATCTAGTCCATTTCCTTTTTCTAAGAAGACTTTTATCTAAACCTACATCTATGCTATTAAAAGAGATTACATCTGTAAAATAAATGTAGGCTAAATTGAGTGCACAGGACTTTACAACTGAAAAACTGGCATAGTTATACACCAAAGAAAATAAATCTGTAATTCACATTAGTTGTATTTTCATCATCTTAAGCATGCAGAATATTCATAATATTTATTTTAGTAAATTAAAATCAATTTTTAAATCTTCATATTTATTTTGGCCTTAGTTTTATGAAAAAAACAAAAAGCCTGAAAATAAAGCAAACTTTGAAATCTATGAATTGGAGTCTATGTAAGATCAAGTTATGATGTAAGTAAAGATAATTTCAAGAACAGCATTTTCATATTTTATGCCAGAAAGCACAAAGAATAAAAAAAGAGCAATTTTTTAAAAATACAAAGGAAACAAAACATATTCGGAGATTAATAGATTTTTTAAAGTGTGACTGTGACAGACTATTCCATAAGACAAAAATTATGCAAAAAAAATTGACATATATTAGTAAAGGAAGTAAGAGACTGGATAAGGTCAGGAAATATGGTTAGTAATGAAAGGAGTTTAACTCCATCCATACTGCTATAAAATTATTATTTTTTTAAATCCTCTTTTCATATGGTTTTTGAAGAAATTCATTATCAAAAAACCCATTGGTAGAGAAGAGATGTTGTAAGGACCTTCCAGTTTAACATATGAATTGCCACTGGTTTGAAACCTACTTTCCTAAATTCTAGTCAATATTATTATTTGCCAGCCACTTCATTGTAAATATTTTGGCTTAATTGTTCCAGACTTTATTCTTTTTTCTTTATTGGCTTGGTGACCTCACTTTCAAAATGGCAAATGTATGAAGTCACAAATGTATTTACTATTCTGTTTAATTTTCAAAGGCCACAATTTAACTTAAAAATAGTTTTCCAAGAGCATGTTATTTAACTCTGGTTAGACTGGAGGAACAACAGAGACAAGTCTTATCTCAAACCTGAATATTTGCTTATGATGTGGGAATAAACTCCCTGAGCAAAGGCTGCCTGCTGAGTGGACCCCTTATATTTCCAAAGAAGGCTTTCGAAATTGAAGGATGATTCATATTAGGATTATAGTTACCCGAGTATGGTCAGAAATATCTGTTAGAAACATCTAGAAGCTGATTAGAATTAATTGCTTTTTTTACCTAATCCCATTTTTTTTCCACATTGCATTTGAGGGACAGTTTGAGTCTGAACATTTACATTGGATGGTGCATTCTTATGTATACAGTCATTTGTGAGCCACTTATGTAGTTCATTCAGGTTTTGATAACCTATTGCTGTGAACAAACCACCCCAAAACTTAATGACATCAAACAACATTTTACAAAGCTCATGGATTTTGTGGGTCAGGAATTCAGTCAGGGCAGTGCTACATGATGTCTGAGGTTTCCTCTGGGAAAACGTGCCTGACTGGGGAGGATTTAAATGCTTGGTGGCTGAAATCATCTAGAGACTTACATGTCTGTTACCTGTTCTGTTTGAAGGCTGGGCTCAGCTGGGACTGTCAGCAAGAGAACCTATGTGTGCTTCTCCATTTTACTTAAGGTTCTCCCAGGCTGAGGGGGAGTGTCCAACATCACACTAGGATATATCTGGAGAGTAAGCATCCCAAAAGATCAAGGCAGGAGCTGGAGCTGTTAAGGCTTCTTTTGACCTAGTCTTAGAGGTCACACATCATTACCTCCTCTGCATTCTACTGTGGCAAATGAGTCACTAAGGCCAGCTCAGTTCAACAAGGGAAGAATTGAACTCAAGGAGTGCCAAGTTACATTATAGAATGTGTGGTATGAAAGATATTTTTGTGGCCATCTTTGGAAAACACAACTGCCTATTGTCTAATGCAACAATTACAGCTTTATTGCTATTTAGGATGAAATAGCTTCTGTTTTTATAAATATTCTCTTGTAGGGCAATATTTGGGAGATTACAAAAAAAATTTGTGTAAAACCACAAAAAATAGCTAATCTTCATAAAATGCCATTTTTATGAGTCCCTCCCTTAGTCTCAAAGCCTCAAAGGTCCTTCATTTTCTGCAGCATAGGACCACGATTTAACTGAATTTATTCTGAGGAAAAGTTTGTTTGGACCACACAGTATTTTAAAAATCAGGGCATTCTACATTAAAATCCATGTATTTATACTATCTTGAAAAACATGAGGGATACTAACAATCCTGGTCTCAAAGTCTGAGATGAGTTGGGTTGAGTGAGCTGAGAGCAGTGGCTGCTCTTTTTAGCAATGGTAGCCCTTCAGCTAACCACAGACCTCCCATTGTCTCCCTGACAAAATTCACTTCATTTAGTTAAGTTACTTATTTGGCTCCTATAGATATTTATATTTGCAACATTAGCCAAGTGGGTCATGCCCAAACTCCACCACCTGGTACTCAAGGCCATTAAAATTTGGCCTCATTATCTACTCAGCCGTACCTCCTATGCTATAGTCGCAATTGCCTGTTGCTTGACCAGTCTCAGTTTGTACACTTAATTATACATGTTGTGCTCACTCTACGCTATAGACTAGTGTTCATAGCACTGCTGCTATATTTGTAATTTTCCTTTTCTTCTACCTTTCCAAACCATAGCTATTTTTCAGGCTTCCACTGGGGCCCTGCCTGTTACACAGGTACTCTGGGTCACAGTGATCTCTCCCCATAGCAGCGTCTGAATCACTCTTTTTACTACCTTGCATTGCTCTGTGAGTGCTGTAAATGCATGGTGCATTTCCCTCAGCTACTTCTAGATTCTAGAGTGCCGGTGACCACGTTATTGTTTTGTTTTGTTTTTTCTGTATCCAGAAGAATAATTGTAGGAGCTCTCCAAAATTCATCTTAAGGGGACCAAAAAGGGGAAGAGATGGAAAGGAATAAAGGAATAGGACAAAGAACTTGCTCTTCTAAATACAGAAAAAAAGCTGTAAATACTGCTTCTAGCATCTTGGCCGTATGATGGGAGATCTTTCTTCAGAGTCAGATCACAAAATGAGCTCATCTTAAAATTTAAGTATTTTTTGGAATTCTCTAAGATGGTTTCTCTGATTTTAAATATTAACTTGTTGATCTAAATAATTCTGAGACTGAACTGTGAATTGAATGTATTGTTTAACTAAAACTTTTATGGAGATTTGGAGAAAAGCCTGCACCTTCTTTTCACTGTGCATTGAGGGTGGGCCTTGCCTGCTCCTTTCTCCCCCACAGGACAGGAGAATGAGTAATAGTGGGAGTGGGAAATTGAAGCAATGATTAAAAATGAAAAGAAGTGACACTGAAAGGAAGTCACTGACCTGGTGGCCAAGTGACTTCTGTGGGTCCCAGTATCCTCATCTGGAAACTAAGGGGCTTAATTAGATTAAGTGATCCATACAGTCCTGTTCTCTTTTAGCACATTGTGTATTTCAGATTTAAATAAATAGAGCCCCTTCTATAGGACCTGAAGGGGAAATGCTACTACCTCTTGAAAAGAATTCATGTAGCTGCAAGTAAGTAGATGCTACATTCCAAAGCTTTTATTAAAGTATGCAGAGAACAATTTCAACATAAATAATTCATGTTGAGAAGACATAAGCTAATGAAGCTCAAAATGCCAGAGGTGGAAAGCTTAGTTTAACAGAAACAGGTGTGGTGATTTACTTCATGGAAATAATAGCATTTGGAGTTAGTGTGGCTTCAGTATCTTTATGCTAGTCTTTTATTGCATAGATGGAAACTAAGTCCCAAAGAGGTTCCATGGCTTACTCAGATACACAGCTGGACAGTGGCATTCTTTGTTTTATTTTGTTAAATTTCTATTTTATTTTTATCTGTGTCTTATAAGAATAATTTATCTTTAAAAAGAGAAACATTTATGATCTAATCAACATAGTACCTTAATAAATTGAAGAAAAACATGAGCATCTGCAATTAAGCTTAAATCTTATAATTTTTGATAATCTGTATATAACATTTATCCCTTTTCATAGATCTAAATGAAGATGACTCTCTTTTGAGTAATAACCTACATACTTTCCAAGGGAAAAAACTTCAAGGCATTTCCTATCAGGTAATGTGAATAATCAACGCTTGCGTGGTGTTGTGAAAAATCATCTTGTTATTGAGCTCTATAATATGCTAGGTGTAGTGTACAATACTTAGCCTTGTAGCTATTTTGTATTTAGTTATTGTAGGTTGTTTTGTAATTGATATGCTTATGTCTCTGTGAATTGGAATATAAATAAAAAAATCAGATGATGACTTGAGTTAATAAACCATTTTGGTTATGCAAAACATCATGCTCTACAGCCTTTTAATAAGTAACTCTGAGCCTGTTAAATTAATATACAGGGATTTTCTCCGACAAGACCTATGCTAAGTGCTTAGAACTATTTGACAACCTTCAGTGAGGGGCACATCCCTCATGTTTTTACATTTAATATAAAAACATAAACTCTGATTCCTGACATATCTTTTTTAAAATTGCATTAATTAACCCAGGAGTTCAAGCAATTAAGAATGTCTGACCTTGGGCCTCTGTAATAATAATAACATAACATTCATTAACAACCAAATCATTGCTATTCACCCTGTAATGAAAAATAGTATATTAGTCAATAAGACCAACTCAGGCATCATACAGATTTTTGATATTTTTCTGACAGCAATAGGGATCTCTTTAATCATCTGATAGCTGTATTAGAAAATTTAGAACTGACCTTCCTCAGTGCAGTAGATCGACCAGCAGGCAGAGGGTGCACAGCGTATCAACTGTGAAGGGCTGATTTGGTGAGGAAAGGGAGCTCACGTTTCTAAATCCAGCCTGATTTCTGGGCTGTTGAAGCCCTCCAATGAACTAGACAGTGGATCATAACTTCTGATCAAGAGCGGTTTCTGCGCATCACTGAGCTGTTCAAGAACCAGTGGGGTCTTCGGCAGAGCATGGGTGACAGCTCTGAAAACAGACTGAACTCTGTTTCAATCTTACTTTGGCTCTTAGTTTTGCAACTTTGGGCAATTTACTTAATCTCTCTCTCCTTAGTTTTCATTGTCTGTAAAATTGGTCTATAAAGAACCTTTATCTCACGGCTGTCGTGAGGATTAAATGAGACTCTTCATTAAAGCACTTAGCTTCATGGCTGGCATTTAGGAGATTTTTAAAAAGTTCAGTTGTTGTTATCACTGAGGTGTGTCTCTTATTTTCTCCTCACCTTGCTGCTCCTCTTACTCTTTGCAAGGGCTTCCTGACACTCTCAAAGGCACAGAGGGCAGATTAACTCTGAAATATTCTGTCTCAGTCTCCAAGATGTAGTATCTAAGTGAAACACTGTCTGATAGCCAGAAGGAAATGATGGCTGGTTTACGGCAACAGCTCCCAGACATGCACTGTGCCAAGAGAAGTCCTTTAAGTTTTTAGTAGAAAACTTGAAACATCTCTTGGAAAGAAAAAAATGATGTAGAAAGTTCTTAGAAGAAAAGGATTAAAGATTAATCTTCACTCTAACAACAATCTGTCTGGACATCTTAAATGGCCAAGAAATGATCTTTCTAGAATATAATCATTCAATTGTACTAAGTAGTTTATAACTAAAGATTAGTTGAAATTCATACCCAGTGACAGACAAGCACGAGCTAACATAGAAGTCTTCATTGGGGAGGAGGGGTTGGTCTTCCTTATCTTTAATATTTTATCCATAGTAGGCCTTCCATTGAACTTGAGAAGCACTTTTTCTCTATGGCAGGATACTTTGGTGTAATGAAGTATTTTAAGTATAAAAAAGTATTATGCAAATTATTCATCTGTAACCCCTTATGACTGAGGAAAAGTAGAAGTAGTTAACCCTTTGAAAGATGGGGCAGAGAGGGAACCATTCTCTGGTGGAAATGGGGGACTGGCCTGTCGACAGAGTCCAAAGAATGAATTGAGGTATGGAATGTGGTGTCCCATCAAGTGAGCAGATGGCTTATCAGAGCAATGTTTCTCCAAGTGTGGCCTGGGGACCATATGTATCAAAATCACTTGGGATGTTTGTTTAAAATGCAGACTTCTGAGCCACACCCCAACCCAACTGAATTGTCATGTGTGGAAGCCAAGAACAGGTATTTTTTTATGTAAATTTCCAGAGGATGCTCAGTACATGAACCATGGGACGGACTCTCTGGCATCCAGACAGTTGGTGGACACCTGTTTGCAGACAATGATGCCCCATGCATATACACTTTACAATCCCAAACTTGGCTCAGGTCAGGTCTGGGAAAACAACAGCCTCTTGGAAAAATTGGAGTTGATTTTTGTTCTCTACCCGAACATTCATTATAGAACTTCTAAAAACTATGTAAAAGTAAAGATTAAGGTAATGAGTAATATCTAACAGGGTAAATATTTTCATATGTTTGGTCATTTTACCCAATATCATTAACATGGGATAAATTTCAAAGATGTAAAACATATTAGTAGTTATAATTATCATATGACCATGCCTACAAAATATATTTTGAGCAAAAAAAAAACATTCAAAATAAAAGATGTAAGCATTAACTGAATTCCCAATCAGAAAATACTCAACCAGACATGTTTCCTTCATGTTCTCAAAATAAAGTGAAAGATCTTAGGCACAAAGATGGTACAAGGAACCAAGTGCCAGGAACAGGGGAAGGTGTTTAAGAAATGCTTTCTCCAATACTGACTTGACTCCGTGAATATTTCTGACTACTTGGCCTGGGATAAACTTGCCAGAGAACCAGGCTTGCAGGAGAAGTGCTGATGGGGAGAGTTTGAAGCAAAGCAGGCTGCCTGGTACTGCGATCATTACAGCTCCCATAAAGAACACCTTGGGGTAACTCAACTCCCAGCATTTATTTTTGTATTCTTGTTCTTGTTTGTTCTTTTCTGTCAGCATTCAGTTGATGGCTCAAACCTTTTGTAGCATATTGAAAAGGATATAAAATATGCAGTAATACAGGCTTTGGGCTAATATATTTTCAAAAATGTTTCATGCCTCATTTCTCACATAAATTCTTAGGTTGCATTCAGCCTTCAGAGCATCATTCATATTCATGATAGAAACGAGTGATAACATTTATTACTTTCAGTGCTGGTGATATGAGGCACTGTCAAGCACCCCACCCAGGACTGAACCAAAACATTTTCTCACTGAGCTCCTTCAGAGGAAAAAATGTTGCTGAGTGAATTAATATTTTTCAATGTATATATGCATATGTATACATATACCTATATCCCTCAGACCTTAGGTCCCCTTCTGTGGCAGATATTAATGTACTCAAGGTTAGATCACTTCACACCCATTTCAACCAATTTCTTTTTTGAAGTCCTCTCTCTGGAGACTATAAAATGAAGTGTTTGAATTTTCAGCCTCCCCTGCAGTTAGGGCAGTCATGGAATCCAATTCTGGCCAATGAGATAAAGTCAGAAATGCCTGGGGAAGGCATTTTCTAGGAAAGAAAGGAGGAGCAACAAAGCCTCATGAGGAGAAAACTGTCCTCTGACCTTCTTCCTGTCTGGTGCTGGGGCAGGATATTGGGCGAGTTAGCAACTGTTTTTCAACTATAAGGGCAAAAGGCACATATGTGTTCAGGATGGTGGAGGCAAATGCACAGAGCCTGAGTCATTAACAACATTTGTGAGTAACAGAACCAGCACTGGCTGGCCGGCCTGTGTCTTGCCTTCCTGTTGTGTGCAAACATAAGCTCCATGACTATTCAAGCCCCATTGCCAGGTTTTCTGTTCCTTCAGGCTGAATGTATTCCTAACTGACAGACTTTACTTTTAAAGCTGTCATTTTTGCTAATGTTAAACTCTAATTACTCTAAGATACTGGACCAAACTTTGCTCACACAGTTGGGTGGGGTCCAGACTGAGCTTTGATTGTGCAATCTAGACAAACCTGCTTCAGTTCTCATACAGTGTAATCAGCACCTAGAGTTGAGAGCCAGTTAGTCCTTAAGATGAAAATTACATCAGTAACAAAAAAAAACTATTAGTTAAATGCAGACATAACTATGTCCAGTGCAGCACACCATTGTGGGGAAAGGTGGTTAGATTGCATCAAAGTGAGATTGGTGTTTTGTGAGCTAAACTGAGGTCAGAGCACCAGCTGACAGGGAAGAACTTTAAGATTTAGCTGTGATCCATTAACAAGCAAGAGATATAAGTCCCTCGTTAGGTGTGAACAAACTATTGGGCAGGAAAAAAAAAGGTTCAAATGATAGATTATTTAAATAGTACCAGCAAGTATCAACTAAAAAATAATTTTATGGATGATGTGATAATATAAACTAATTTGTTAAGTGTTTTCTTATTTTCAAGTACATTCTTATCCATATATAACTTTAGCAACTGTATTAGTCATTTATTACTACATAATAAATTAGCCCAAAATTTAGGAACATAAAACAGCAAGCGTTTATTATCTCACAGTTTCTCTGAATTAGGAGTCAGAGTGGTGGAGCTGGGTGATTCTAGCTCCGGGTCTCACATGAGATAGCAATGAAAATGTAATCTGAAGGTTGCCTGTGGCTAAAGATCTGGTCCAAACCCCCTCTCATGGCTGAAGGCAGCTCCTTGCTGGGGGCTGTTTGGAGGCATCAGTTTCTCACCATGATGGCCTTTCTACAGGGCTGCTTGAGTGTTCTCACAGTGTAGCATTTGGCTTCCCCCACAGTGAGTGACCCAAGACACAAAGTAAGAAGGAAACCATAATGCCTTTTAAGATCAAACCTCAGAAATACTTCATCACTTCCACTGTATTCTGTTTGTTAGAAGCAAGTTATTAAACCCAGTCATACTACAGGGAGGGACATTATGACCCACCTTTTGAAAAGAGCAATATAAAACAATTTGTGGACACATTTAAAACCCACTAGAGCTATCTAGTAATACTTTGAGGTTATAGATGGAGGAGTTTTCCTATATCCCAAGAGCAAGATTATAACTTATTTTGCAGATAGAATGAATATAGAGCTCTATTTTTTTTAACTAGAGGAAGCATGTAAGCTCATTTTTAATTTTAAAGAGTAGCTTTGGTTGGTGTTAAAAGAAAAGGAATGTTA